GGTTTCCCCAATGGCTTTCTGGGGAAGCCAGCGGGAAAACCTGCAAACGCCGATCACAAGATCACATTGTAATGAGTCATACTGTTCTGACCTCGGCTTCCTTAGCAAGTGGAAAACACACTCTCAAGTCCCGGCAAAACCTCTTTTTACCTCCACGGCTGTGTATTCCGTTCATTCCCAGCCTGCAAGGCTTCGCCAACAGTCTTTCAGGGGAATGTGGATCCATACCCACCTTATATGGCACTTGGGATGAGGCCAGAGCACTAACGGCCCGACACAGGGCAAGGCCAAGCTTAACACAGAGCCAAACGGAACTTTTCAAAGTTTGTGTTCTGAGCAAACAAACTAATTGCTTCCTGTAAAAGCCTCCCCGCTTTTGCTCCTCTTTTAATTCCTATGGGAGGGGCCCAACGCTGTCCACCTGTGCCCTTACTCCCAGGTCGACCCTGAGTTCTTAATTGTTCCCTTCTCCTGGCAGCTCTGTGCATGAGCATATCGGGAACAGGCTCCAGCTGTTCTTCTGCCTCACTGATTTCCAACTCCGAAGGCAGCTGACAATTGCTGCCAGCCTGCCCTGGCCTCATCTCTGCCTCCGATGCAGACCCCCTCATCCAAGCCTTCCTTAGCCTCCAAGACTGGCCCAGGTTTCCCCTCCCCGCAGCCTCCTTGCTACTGTCTAACTCTGCTGCCAGCTCCGTCAGCCGCTGGCCGGCCACAACACATACGTGTGAGCCGATTCCCGAGCAACCAGATCGTGATCACACGAGTGCGGGAACGCTGGGATGCCAAAAACTCCGAGGATCGGTCGTAAGCACGACTCACTTGGCACCGTCATGACTTTGGTCATAGTGTCCAATTGGCTCTGCATCCTTTTCCAGAGACCGGGAACCTGTCCATGACTGGCGGGTCCCTGGAGACCTAGATGGGGGTCTCTCGACACGTACCCTGTTGTTGGTCACCAGCAGGTCCCGCACTGTGTAGCTCTCACACTCTTCCTCCTTCTTCAGTTCTATGGCGATGTCTCCGTAAGCTACAGAGCCGTCCGAAGGCCAATACTGGGCACACTTCTCCTAGCGTGTCAGGAAACAGGAAAGATAGGACTGTGAGAAAGCTCGCGGAGAAGAGGAACCGGTCCTCTGGTGGCCCCCCCTTCGTGGTGAGGGGGTGCAATGAAGCCCCATGGTGGCTTTCATTAGGTTCTTCACAAAGGGAAACCAGGTGTCTCCTCCAGCTGGTTTGCGAGAAGGACAACCTGAAAGGAAACCACGGAGCTCATTTCCAGAAGACAGGACGATGGCCAACTAGGAGGGGTCCTCGGTGCTCTCTGAGCCGGGTGGTTTTCTTGCAGGCATTTCACGGCCCAACTAGGCAACATCGTCAAGAGCTAGAAGGGAGTGGGATTTGTGGAGAAGGAGGAGGAGGAGAGGAAGAGGACGGTGGGGTCCTTGGTGCTCTCTGAGCTGGGTGGTTTTCTTATAGACGTTTCATGACCCAACTAGGGGATATTATCACTGCTAGAAGGGAGTGGGGTTTGCAAGGAGGAAGAGGAAGAGGAGGAGGAGGAGGAGGAGGAGGAAAATGACTGTGGGGTCCTTGGCACTCTCTGAGCTTGGCAGTTTTCTTGCAGACATTTCATGACCCAACTATTGACCTCACCCCTTTCCTAAGAGGTCTGTAGGGGGCGTACATAAGCGCACCAACATGCCTACCGTCCCTGTCCTATTGTTTCTTTTATTTTTCTTATATGTACCCATTTCATGTCTTCATAACTATGTTTATACTTATACCGTCCCTGTCCTATTGTTCCTTTTATTTTTCTTATATGTACCCATTTCATGTCTTCATAACTATGTTTACGCTTATACCGTCCCTGTCCTATTGTTTCTTTTATTTTTCTTATATGTACCCATTTCATGTCTTCATAACTATGTTTATGCTTATACCGTCCCTGTCCTATTGTTTCTTTTCATTTTTCTTATATGTACCCATTTCATGTCTTCATAACTATGTTTATACTTACACCTATTATCTTGTAAGCGATTGACAAATCAAAATAAATAAAAAACAACAACTAGGAAACATCAGCAGGGCTAGAAGGGAGTGGGGTTTGCGGAGGGGAGGGGGGAGGAGGATTGTGGGGTCCTTGGCGCTCTCTTGGTTCTTTTTCTTGCAGACGTTTCACGACCCAAACTAGGTAACGCCATCAGTGACGTGAGCACCAGGAAAGAACCCAGCTCAGACAGCACCAACGCCCCCCTCGTTTCAACCCCAAGCTAGAAACGTCCCCCTTTGATTGGCAGTGGCTATCTAAATGGAATCACGGGAGGCCCTCCCAAAAAAAAATCAATGCCACCTCCAGATTTTTTTGGGGGGGAAGCCCACCTCTCCCAGCGTTCAACTGCTGGGCCACGTCGGGAAAAGAGAAAATTAAACCTCCCGCTGTTTCTTTGCAAGGACCCCAGAGGTATCCGGTAAGCCGTGGCGAGGAAGGAAATATGATGGATTTTTTGGAGCGCGTTTGCCTGGTCCAGGAAGGGCCCCCATTCCAGAAGACCTCAATACACCACTTGTTCCTCTGGATCAGAGGTCTCCCAACTTGGCCCCTTGAAGACTGGTGGACTTCAACTCCCAGAATTCTCCAGCCACATTAGTCACACGGTCATTTAAGGGAAGCTCTGCTGGCTGGGGGAATTCTGGGAGTTGAAAGTCCACGAGTCTTCAAGGGGCCACGTTTTAAGGGACCCCTGGCTCTGGATCTTCTTCTCCACGGTGGCTCACCTGTCCCCTCTCTTCCAGCTCTGTCAACATCACGATGGAGCCGGATTTCCACTCCCAGATCATCCTCCAGAAGTCCTCAATGGTGTGCTGGAGAGGCCCTTGGCTGGCGATGTACGAGTCCTTTTGACGGTAACCCTGGGAACGTCCAAACAGGGGTCACCCAGAAGCATGACAGCAACAGCCCTAGAGCCCTGAGGCGTATAGGCCGCTTCAATGGGCCCCTCTAAGCAGTTTACAGCGTCAGCCATCTTGCCCCCCAACAATCTGGGTCCTCATTTGACCCACCCCGGAAGGATGGAAGGCTGAGTCAATCTTGAGCCTGGTGGGATTCGAACTGCTGGCTGTGGGCACAGTCAACCTGCAATACTGCATTCTAACCACTGCAGCAACATATTTCTTCTTATCCCTCGTGTCTTTCCTGTTAACTATTTTGCTATCGATATAAACATTCTTTGGGCCTGTTTTGCAAGGGGTGGGGAGTTTAACTTGGTTTGTCGTCTATTAAATCAGCATTCAACTAGGGAGGAAGCTAGGCATACGTACGTTAATCGTTCTTTTCTTAAGACCCTTTTTAAAATGTCTTTTTTGTGGTGTGTGTGTTTTTTTTTCCCCTCAACATTTTGGGCGTTTTATATTTTAACATCTGTTGAATAAACTTAAATATTGTACAGGGAAATAAAAGGAAGATGGACACTTATACTTAAAAAAATAAAATAAGCGTGTACGGTCTGGGAAGCCTTGGTCAGAACAATTGATGACTCTTGGCTAGGGAGGTGTCCCATTGGAGAATATGAATTACGATACACCCAGAGGGGTGGAGGGAAAACCAGGGTCAAGGGTGACAGGGAATGATGTGCCTCAGAGCCGGCTGCACCCAGGCAGTGCCAGACACGTTAACTCCCAATAAATCCTTTGGAAGTTTTGGCTCGAGACTCATGATTTAAATGGGGGGGAACTGCCAGAATCCTGACATCATCTTCTTTTAACGACCCCATAATCTCTTGCATTGGGGTGGAGTCTGGGCAACTGAATGGAGCTGAGCTTGTTTTCTGGCCGGACGCCCTTCCTGTTGCCAATGCCGAGTTTTGTTTGGCCAGGTATATTCGCATTGTGCCCAGAGAGAGAAATATCTGCCTCTGCCTGGGATCAAACTCACAGCCCCGATTGTGAGGTGAGAGAGCTCCACCTCCAGGCCAACGCACCACTCACCAATTTTTTTTAATACGAGCTGAGAAAATTCAATTGTTGGAATGAAAGCTTTGAATAGGGTTGTTTGTTTTAAAAACAAGTCTCGTTTTATTGCAACGCTGGGAATTGTTTTCATTCCCAGCCTGTAATGAATCTCAAAACAGTCCCTCGAGATCAGCACCCACCTTCCTTCCCTGTGAAGGGCTGCCAATAATAGAAGGGTCCAATGAACTAGAAAAAAAACCCAACCGAAGCGCAAAGAGCTTCAAGAATGACTCTGAACCGATCAAACTACTTTGCTTCCTGCAAAGATGTCATCACATTGGCCTGACTTTTATCCCTTAGGGGAGGGGCAATCACCTCCAAGCCTTACTCCTGAGTTACCACTTTTGTCTCAGCTGCTCTCGCCTTCTGGCAGCTCTGTGCATACACGCACTGGGAACAGGCTCCCCTGGGTCCTCTGCCTCGCTGCTGCCAGACTCCAGAGGCTTCGGAGTCAGCACCCCACTCCCAGATGGTCCTGGCCCCATCTCTGCCTCGGATGCAGGACCCTCATCCGAGTCCTCCCCAGACTCCCGGACTGGTCCCCGTTCTTCCCCACTGTCCGATTCCACTGCCATCTGCACCGGCTGCCAGCGAACCACAACATCCATTATATTTGCGGCAGAAACTTCAGTCACCTAGTTAACTATCTTTGAAAAACTATGTATGGAATGCACTTTTGATTTCCAAGCGGCCGCACTGCTCTTTCAAAACCCCTTTCCCCTCCTCCCTTTCTGTTGGCAACTCTAAAAAAAGACCATAGAAGTATTTTATGAGTTGAGGGATGACGTATTAGAAAATCCATGAACGTTAACACTCACGTCAATAAAAGAAGCATTTACATAATCGGTGTTTTCTTCGCCTCTCTTCACTGGAATGATCACTCGGTTAAACTCATCTGCAGGGGGGGGGGGGGGAGTTAAAACATTTTAGAAATATTTGGCAAGCGGCATTAAGGATTCTGGCCTGGCCTGAGGTGGCTCAGAAATGATGGGTTTCCATAGTAACCACCCCAAAATGGCGACGTCTCTCTGCCAGCACTCTCCTCGGCCATTCTGACACAGCAGCTCCGCCCCCTTTGCAGAAAACACACATTGCACCAGTCATCCTCGACATACGACTGCAATGGAGGACCCAACATCCCCCATCGCTAAGCGAGACACTCGTTGAGTTTCGCCCCCATTTTATGGCCTTTCTGGCCGCAGTCTGTTCAATGAATCGCTGCAGGTAGAGATACAGTCGCTAAGCGAAGCTGGCTTCCCTCCCACCCCACCCATCGACTTTGCTGGTCAAAAGGTCGCAAAAGGGGATTATGTGACTGCCGTCCCGGACACTGCAACCCGTCGTAAATACGAATCAAGTTGCCAAGCGTCTGAATTTTGATCATGTGGCCATGAGGATGCTTGCAATGATCGTAAGTGTGAAAGCTGGTCGTAAGTCACTTTTTTTTCCCCACTTTGAATGGTCACTAAATACATGGTTATAAGTTGAGGACCACCTATACTTTAGAAAAAAAAATCAGCTGATAAAATACAACGAAAATCCAGTTGCTTCTCAGGAACATCAAGCCACGATTCACGGTTTAAACCGATGAAGCTCTGTATTTCCCTCTGCCTTCTATCCCAAATCTTGTGAAGTCAACATACAAAAGTTAGATCCTTCAATGGTTTCTCATGCCTTAAAACAGGGGTCGCCAACCTTTTGGACCTCCAGGGGACCCCCAAACTCATCATTTTAAATCCCGTGGACCAGAGACCCTGGGAACCCCCCCCCCAAAAAAAAAGTCTGCAGGGAAGTTCCTGTTTTCCTACCAATCGATCGTTCTTTATTTCAGATCGCAGGATACCGTCTCCAGCTCTGTTCTCAGGAGGAGGGGGGGGCAAGGAGAGACTTTTGGCTGCACGCAAGGAAAGCAGCAGAAGTCTTTCTTTCTCTCCCCCAAACTCTGCCAGAAATGAGTCTTTGGGACCCTGCAAGGCTTCCTGCTCCAAGAGGCTGCGCCGGCAAAGGCCCATTTCTGGCGGAGTTTGGGGGAGAGAAAGAAAGACTTCTGCTGCTTTCCTTGCGTGCAGCCAAAAGCAGAAGGAAGAAGCGGAAAGAAGCAGCCCGGTGGCCAGGCCAGGCGCGTGGGGCGACTGGGGCAAGTTACCCCCCCTCTGCCCATTCTCCCCTCCCCTCACTACCTCATGTTCGCAATGCAAGCGACGCAAGCCTTGTGTTCCCACGCAGCCTGGATTAATTGCTTTGGGGGGAACATTTCTCTGCGGACCACCCAAATTTTCTCGCAGGCCACCAGTGGTCCCCGTCCAATTAATCCAGGCTGCCTTAAAATGGACATTTTTCTCCCCCCACCCCACCCCAAGCGAGGCACGTAATTCCTTACATGGGATTATCTGGAGCACCCGGTTCTTCTTCATGTTGGCCGGCAAATTGCCCGTCCTCATTTTGTCGTTCTGGATTTTGATGGAGGTGAGTTTCTGCAGAGAGAGACGTGGGACGTTAAGCATCAAAGGCAGACGTGCACGGGGCCAAAGAGAGGGGGCCATGGACGGGGTGGGCCTGCACGCAGCGTGGAACCAGGTGTAAAATGTACCTTAGCTTCTTCCCCAACTTTTCAATCTCTCGTCCCGCCTTAGGCATGAAAGGCGGCTGGGTGACTTTGGGCCAATCACCAGGAGACGGTGAGTTCTAGTCCCGCCTTAGGCATGAAAGCCAGCTGGGTGACTTTGGGCCAATCACCAGGAGACGGTGAGTTCTAGTCCCACCTTAGGCATGAAAGCTGGCTGGGTGACTTTGGGCCAATCACCAGGAGATGGTGAGTTCTAGTCCCGCCTTAGGCATGAAAGTCAGCTGGGTGACTTTGGGCCAATCACCAGGAGACGGTGAGTACTAGTCCCGCCTTAGGCATACAAGATGGTTGGAACTTTGGACCAATCACCAGGAGGAGGTGAGTTCTAGTCCCGCCTTAATCATGCTAACCTGCTGGGTGACCACCTAACAATCACAAAGAGAACAGGAATTCTAGTCCCACTATAGGCATGAAAGGTGGCTGGGTGACTTTGGGCCAATCCCCAGGTGATGGTGAGTTCTAGTCTCGCCTTAGACTGGGTCATCTTATACCAATCCTCGGGAGACAGTGCAGTCTCTCCTTCTCAGCCCAACCCACGTCACAGAGTTGTTGTTGTGGAACAGTGGGAGAAGGAAGGTGTGTTGGATACATTTGTCAGCTTGAATTATGTTTTATTTAAAATAATAAAGGCAGGACACACACACACACCCCTAGACCCATGAATATTATTCCAGCCACCTCTTTGTTCCCTAGTCTTCTTCTAGGAGTTGCAAAGACGGCCTGGCATTGAATACCATCCATGTTAACAACTGTGAACAGCCCAAATCGAAGTGTGTTTGGGGCAAAAGAGAAATCCTTTGGCTGAACTGATCGGTTCAGTCCCCAGACTGGAGACCACCTGGAGATCTCAGGCTTCCCTGCGGGAGAGTCTTCCGCCGATCCAAATGGCTCCCCACCTTAAACTCTTCCTCCAATCCGTTGCTGCTGCTCCCCAAGATTTTGTTGTAAATCTTCTGGAGGTGGACCTCCAGCGAAGTCACCTCCAGTTCTGTGTCTCCGTATAAGTAGTGCTCCAGAAGTGCCTGGTAGATGAAGACGTACTGCATCTAAGAGGAGAGAGAGAGAGAGAGAGAGGGAGCTTTGAGCTTTATTCCTTAGGCTTTTTTTGGGGCCTGTAGTATCCTAAAGACTCTTGGGATTTCCGGTCTCCCAGCGGAAGAGAACAGAGGGAGCTCCGGGTGGGCGTTCTGTGGAATTCTTGGTTCTCTCTTGACGGGTTTTCTTGCAGACGTTTCGTGACCCAATTGAGTCATGTCATCAGTGCTAGAAGGGAATGGGGTTTGTACAGTGGAGGAGGAGGAGTAAAAGTACCCTAACTCAACTGCCCCCCATCATCCCAATCCCAATCCCAGGATTCCTAATCCCAAGATTCCCAATCTCATAATCCCAATCCCAGGATTCCTAATGCCACTTCCATAATCTCAATCCTACTTCTATAATCCCAATCCCAGGATTCTCCATTCCCAAATCCCAAGATTCCCAATCCAACTTCTATAATCCCAATCCCAGGATTCTTAATCCTACTTCCATAATCCCAATCCAACTTCTATAATCCCAATCCCACAATCCCAATCCCACTTCTATAATCCCCAAATCCCAATCCTAATATTCCCAATTCCACTTCTATAATCCCAATCCTAGGATTCCTAATCCCACCCATAATACCAACCCCAGGATTCCCAATCCCACTTCTGTAATCCCAACCCCAGGATTCCCAATCCCATAATCCCAATCCCACTTCTATAATCCCCAAATCCCAATCCTAATATTCCCAATCCCACTTCCATAATCCCAATCCTAGGATTCCCAATCCCATAATCCCAACCTCAAGTTTCCAAATCCCAACCCTGTCATCTTAATCTCAGGATTCCCAATCCCATAATCCTAATCCCAGGATTCCTAATCCCAACCATAATCCCACTCCCAGAATTATGAGTAGAGTAAGAACGACCGAAGACCCAGGCTAATTACAGAATTGGGGGGGGGGAGGCGGTGGGGCAAATGGCTCCCACCTGAGACGGGTTTTTGAGACTTACATCAGTCTGTACCATCTGGCAGCGTTGGGCCCGGATTCGGCTCACAAACCCATAAACATCCACCTTCTTCTCGGCGTGCATCATGTCCAGCATGGCATCGATCACAATGAACGTTCCCGTTCGCCCCACACCAGCACTAAAGGACAGGATGGTGAGGAGGGAGAAGGAAAAATATATCTTATATATATATATATATAAAAGCAAAATGCCACTCACAGATCATCACAAAATCTCCAGAAACGTAAAGCCTACAAACTTGAAATTTGGCGTGTTTCTTTTGTTGTCTAGGGGCTCCCTAAGAAAGGATTTTTCCAAATGACCATCAGAGCATTTAGGGCATTTCCTATATTATTATTATTATTAACACGCTCTGATGCTAAGGAGTTCTACTCTCCCCCCCTGAAAAGAAATCTCTTCCAAATGCAAAACACAAGCAGAGGAGAGGAGTTTCAGGTTCAGTTTCACAGCACCCAGCAGCTTTAGTACAGAACAGTTGAGCTAAGCCACCCCCACGCTCCTTGCTGTCTCCTTCTTGCTCACACAGCAAATACTCTTTCAGTTTCCAAACAGCCCTCTACTCTCTCACACACGGACAGGACGCTAGCCGGGTGAATACCAATGGATGCCGGTAGGCAGAGGCAGGAATTTCTCCCCCCTTATTTTCCTCCCCAAAAACTAAGCCCGACCACATAGTTTCGTTGCAAAGCACAGGGATCGAGCTAACCTATTTCTATATGCAGTGGGTGGACAGGACAGACAGCAAATCTGGCCTCCCCTTGGATTTTGCTTGTCAGAAGGTCACAAAACGGGACCGCGGGAGACAGCCCCCCCACCCAGGACCCTGCGATCGTCATAAATGTGAGTCCGTTGTCGAGCACCTGAATGTAAATTGTGTGACTGTGGGGGAAGTCGCAAGGGTTATGACACTGTTGACTGTCATGAAAAATGAGCCAGTTGGCCAAGTGGCTGAAGGTTGGGGACGCTGCGGCTGTTGTTTTAAGTCTGACAAACGGCCCCAAAGTCCCTTTTTTTTCAGTGCTGGGGTGACTTCGAACGGCCACTAAATGAACAGTTGTAAGTCGAGGACTATCTGTAGGTAGGAGCACTGCGGACTTGAAGGCCAACAAATCAAGGGAGAGTAACGATGGTAACTTCATGAGAGATGGACTTCAACTCCCAGAATTCCTGAGCCAGCACAGCTGGCTCAGGAATTCTGGGAATTGAAGTCCACCGCTCGTGAAGTTGTCAAAGTTGGACACCAGTAAAAAAAAATGGTGCCTAGCCCGACCGGGAATGGCCCTTTTCCTTGTTCTGGCTTCCTGAGACATTAACAAACCCATGTTAGTCCCAAAAACCTTTTGTTTTTATTTCAACGACTGTGAATTACCTGCATTCACAGCCCGTAATGAGTCCCAAACAGTTTGTGAATAGCCCAAGAGAAGTCTGCCACAGTCCTTCGGGATAAGGCTGATAAGCACCCACCTTTATCTCCCTTGAAATGCTGCCAACGGCTAAATCGCCAATTAGTTGTACAAGGCCAAAACAGAGCACAAATTCAACACCGAGTTTCAGAGTTTAAATCGATCAGAGCGAACAAAGTTGCTTCCTGCAAAGGCTCCTGTCCCTTTGTTCCTCCTTTATGTCTTATGGGAGGAGCCAATCACCTCCAAGCCTTACTCCGGAGTCGCCCCTTTTTGACTTCGTTGCTCTTGCCTTCTGGCAGCTCTGCGCAAGCGCGCACTGGGAACAGGCTCCCGCTATTCCTCTGCCTCACTGCTGTCAAGATTCTGGAGGCTCCGGAGTCGGTATATAATTCCCAGATGGCCCTGGTCCCATCTCTAGGTCGGACGCCGGACCCTCATCTGAGCCCCCCCCCCCAAGACTCCAGCACTGGCCCATGGTCCTCTCCACCGCCCGACTCGGCTGCCGTCTCCACAGGCTGCCGGTGGACCACAACGTTCCCCTACCAACGACACACTGACCTGCAGTGGACCACAATGGCGCCCGCGTATTGCGGGTTGCACGTCTTCACTTTCTTCAGGAACTTCAGCATCCCGATGGGCGTGAACGGTACCCCAAAATCCGGCCAGCTGGTGAAGTGGAACTGGGTCACCAGGCGCTGAGGCTTTTTATTGGTGACGTCGCCTACCTGGTTGGAAGGCGGGGGGGGGCAAAGGTTAGCTGGGGTTACTCCCTGCGGACACCTGGAAGCCCCTCCCCCCTCCCCGAGGACCTACTTAGCTTTGCTCCCAGGCTGTGGCAGAGGGATAGATCGGAAGATTGAAGGAAGGAGGGAAGGGAGGAAAAGGGAAGGCTGGAGAGGAGGAGGAGAGGAGAAACTCAGGGTGGGGATAGGGGCTTCTCGCCTTATTTTTCTTATCATGACTTTGGGTT